CTGGGGAAGGCTGCTCTGCAGTGACTCCTGCTGGGGGAGGCGGGGATAGGACTAGTTCTGATTCTTCCATACACACACACTCATGTACATAGATTACTGTACTCCTTCTGCACCATTCCCTATAGTGACCCCTGCTGTGAGAGGCAGAACTGGCATTGCTGTGAGAGCCCCTCGCAGCCAACCACACTCTTACACCAATCTCTATAGCCACTCTTACTTTTCATTTCATTGCTGTCCTTTGCTTGGTGCCTTTCAGCTCTGGGAAATATCGGCTCAGCCCCAAAATACATGGCTGGCACTGTGCGAAGAGAGGGGTCAATGCAATGTGCTGTTATCAGCAGAGTATTAAATCCTAATGCGCTGCTGACAAGCCAGGCTTTGTCCGGTTCTGCCTATCGGAAGCAGCAAGGGGGCTGTGAGGTGGAAAAGCGGCTGTGACAGAGCTCAAATCAGCTGATTCTAAGACAGGATTATAAATTACAAAGAATGAGAGAAAAACAAATGGGCAAAATTCCTCCCGCAGACACAGAAATCATCACCCTCTGGCGGGGGCAACACAGAAGGGGGGGAAGAGGGAAAGAGGCATGGTTACTATTTTCCCCCGCGTAGCTATGTGAACCAAGAAGGCTAATATTTTCCCAATCATGTCTCCCTCTGCAGTCCATTCCTGCCCAGGGCATGGACCACTGGTATAATCAAACTCCCCCTCCCCCCCCCCAGGTGACTTCTCCCCAGTCACCTCTCTCTCCCCAGGAGGCTTGTCCTAGCCTGTGGCAGAATCTCCCCGGGGATTAACCCACAGGGATTTCTTCCCAGCCATCTCCCCATCCTAACCAAAGGGAGGCCTAGTGGAAAAAAGACCAGGTGTTATCTAGGCTTGCCATTCAAACTCTCTACCCTTGCCTCAGTGTAATAAAATGATGCCACCATGTCACCATTCTGGATTGTTTTGTTGCTGTTGCTATTGTTAGCAAGAACACAAGGTCTGGATTAGTGCGGAGAGAATGAACAGTCTGACTTTGCAAGGCAGGCAGGGAATGGATTTTTCCATTCTTCTCCTCCCACCAAGGGTCAGGAGGCTAGCTCGCTCCTCTGTCTCTGATAGTTGCCCCCCACACACACACGTGGTCAGCAGCCCTTATATCAGGCCTTGCTGGCTGCACATCCCACCGTGGATCGGTCTGACAGTGGAAAGGCAGGCGAGCAGGATGGCACTGCGGGTAAGGGAGAGGGACCAGCATCTGGCATAACTCACCAGCTCAAGCTGGTGGTCAGTGTCTGGGGATCTGATCATTCAAGCGCAGGATAGATAAAGAAAGAGCATTGCAGCTGGGGAAAAAACCCAGAAATCTGGCCAGAGCAAAGCTAGAAACCAACAGGTTCATGGGAGTTCTGCTTATGGGGCTGCCCTTCTGTTTCAGTAATGAGCCCCAAAATGTAGCTCTGTTGTAATCGAGTACAGAAGGATGTTTTAGGGCAACTGGCCAGATTGTGGTCTCAGTTAGACTGGTGTATATCCAGACTAACACCACTGACTTCACTGCAGTTATTCCAGAATTACAGTGTTGTGCTGAGATCAGAATCTGGCCCCGCGTCTAATGGAGCAACCCGAGCAGGTGTCTTTCTTTTGTATGTTAAAATAATCTCTCCCGGGACAACCAGTAGCAGAGAGGAAGTTGCTGTTGCGTGGATGTGGGGCATGTTTCGCTGTATGTGCTGTAGTGACTTTAGGGGCAAGATCCAAGTGAAGCCCAGATTGGGATCCAGCATGACTTCCACCCCGCTTACACCTTACAATCAGCTTTGCATGACCCAAGTGTTTCTAAGGGGGCAAAATGTGTGAGTATCATCATATCCGCTTCTGTGTGTGTGTGTGTGTGTGTGTGTGTGTGTGTGTGTGTGTGTGTGTGTGTACGAGGGAGAGACAACCAGCAGCATGAGAATGGCGGGGAAGTGTTTAGTGGGCTCCATCTTTAGAAGTAGCAAGACAGGAGGCTGGAGATTAACAGTGGAGCTGTCTGAGATGATTGCGTCTCAGCTCCTGCCCTAAGGACGTGTGTAGGACGTGTGTGTCCAGGAGACGCTAGGCATGGTTTGAATGGAATCCAGTGGCAGAGTAAAGGGACTAGATAAGTGAAGCCCCGGAGTGAGAGAGACTGAATGCTTTACATGACTTGGAGTGAAAACTAGGACTGGAGCAGAACCCAAGAGTGTCTGCCAAAACCAGGAGTGATTTCTCCCAGCGATGGGGATGAGCATCATTCAGTGGGGGGCGAGGGGGTTGTATAAAAAGGGACCATGAGAGTTTATTATTATTTATTATTTGTGCTGTGGTAGCACCTAGGACCCCCAGTCACAGACCAAGACCCCTTTGTGCTAGGCACTTGACAAACACAGATGGTCAGTTGTGGATAGAGTGGGAATACCACTAGCGAAGGGAAGCAGGTGTCATTCCCCTGGGAGTATGGGGAAGAGAGAGAGCTGTTTCACATGAATTCATCACTTACTTCAGCTCCCTGTTCCAAATCCTTATGAGGAAGGTACGCTGAGCCCCAGTTCACTGGGTGAGGATCTTACTGGGGACACCTCAGGTCCCATCTGCTCAGCATGGACATGACAGATCCCAGGTTATTTTCCAGAATAATGGTGGCTTGACTAATTTTTCATAGCCAGAATTCCTCTTTTTCCCATTGTGTTGTGCTGAGCTGTGGGCTCGTTTGCTCCTGCCCTCCACCCTTAGTAGAGCCGGCTGCATTTCAGTGGGGCTGCTGCTGTGTGAAGCACAGGAGAGAGAGTCGGCTCATAGGAGCATCAGAAAAGGGAGGAAATGTCAAGCCTTTCTTATGAAAAATGGGTTATTCAACAGAAACATGAATTATTGAGAAACGAACCTGCTCTCTCGTCTTTTACACGAGTTTAACTCCTGAGACCGGACAAAGATCCCAGCCTGGAAAGCATGAGGAGTGTAACAGTGAGTGAGGTGGCACTTATCCAGCTGCCCATGTTCCACTGACTGGAAGGAAGCTGTGAACAAATTGGAGAGAGGCCAGAGGAGAGCAACAAAAATGATAAGAGGTTTGGAAAAGATGACCTCTGAGGAAAGGTTGAAAGAACTGGGCACCTTTAGTCTAGGGAAGGGAAGGCTGAGGAGGAACAGTTTTCAAATATGTAAAAGATTGTTATAAAGAGGATGGTCATCAGTTGTTCTCCATGTCCACCAAGGCCAGGAGAAGAAGCAATCAACTTAGTTTGCAGCACAGGGAGATTTAGGTTGGGTAGTTGGAAAAACTTTCTAACTATAAGGAAAGTTAAGCACATGACCAAGTTACCAAGAGAAGCTGTGGAATCTTCCTTAGTGGAGACTTTTAAGAACAGGTTAGGCAACCACCTGTCTGGGATGGGCTAGGTATACTTAATCCTGCCTTAATATGGAGGGGTGGACTAGGTGACCTCTTGACAATCCTTCTAGCCTGACAAGTCTATGATTCACTATTCCCCTCTGCTCAGTTCCTGCCATTCCAACCATCCCTCAAAGCACCTCAAAGTCTCATGCTCAGGACTCAGAAGATTTGGCACTGTTGAGGATGAGGCGGGGAAGAAGGATTTCCTTGATTTCATAGCAAACAGGATTTTATGCAGGTTTTTTGCAGCAAGAGCCCTGGCATTCCTCTGCCAGTTGATGCAGAACAGTGATTTCTTAGCTATCAGCAGATGAAATGGGATTTGCCACCCCCAAAACATCTTTTATACAGAGCTGGGCTGGACTGGAGAGAAAGGGGAATTCTGAGAGCAAAAAAGGCTGAGCCATTTTATGTTTATTTTATGGCATTGCTGAGTGATAAAGAGCTGGAGGGGAGAGAGGAAGAGGAAGACAAGAGAAAAGAGGAAGAGAAGATGGGAAAGAGAGAGAGGATGAAAATTGACCCAGTAATAAAGCTGTGGAGGGAATGGGAAAGGAGAGAGAGGGCAGGGGAGAAAGCTGAGATATGTTTCTTTATTGCTGGAAAGCTTGTCTCTCTCACCCACAGAAGTTGGTCCAATAAAAGATATTACCTCCCTCGCCTTGTCTCTCTTCATTGCTGAGTATCACTGACTTGTGTTTTTTTTCGTTCACAGTTCGAGGCATCATACCCAGAGGGGCTGTGTCCTGGTTGGAGCGTGATAGTTAAAGGCGAAGCGAGCTCCAATGCAAATATGTAAGGGCATTATTTGCAGCCATTTTTCAGAGCATCATGGTGTCTCATGGGACCCAGCTGCCAGGCTTCATGGGTTTGAATCACTCATTTCTCTCATTTTTTAGGTTTGAAATTAATTTCCTCTGCAATGCAGGAGACCAAATCGCTTTCCACTTTAACCCTCGCTTCTCTGACTCCAAAATCGTCTGCAACTCCTTCCTATCCAACCGCTGGGGGCCGGAAGAAGTAACTGACACCTTCCCACTAAAAGCCAAGGAACCTTTCCAGGTAATTCAATATCAGCCCACAAATCTTCTGGGGACACTCCCTGCTGGGAGAGACACATGACTGCCAGCCCCGGAGTGGGGACTAGCAGTACAAATCATTCAATCCTTCCTTCAATGCACAGTTCTGCTCAGTTACACTGTTGTAAACCTGGAGTAACTCCACCGACTTCGTTAACTCCAATGACAAAATAGGAGAACAGAAATTGGACCTCGTTCGCATTCTGGGCCATAGCCAGCCTGGAGTAAAGATGCAGGTGTAACTCCCTGGGCTCAGTTTCGCAGGGATGTAAATGGTAAGGTCAACTACACATCAGTTATAAGATGACTATAAACAAATATAAGTGGTTAAGGGGTGTGACTTGCACTGCCATGCTATACAGGGGCAGTGCAAAGCAAGTGTAATGTACAAGGCAAGTGGATGGATTAAGGGTATGTGTGATTAGCAGGAAAATCAATTAACAAGAAGGGGTCAGACAAAGCATGCCCCCTTGCACACACACACTCTAAATTATACCCACAATGCCTATGGGGAACTGCAGATCTGATTTATCCTCTCAGAACACCAAAAATCAGTGTAAGTCAGTGGTTCTCAACCTTCCCAGACGACTGTACCCCTTTCAGGAGGCTGATTTGTCTTACGTACCCCCAAGTTTCACCTCATTTAAAAACTACTTGCTTACAAAATCAGACATAAAAATGCAAAAGTGACAGCACGCTGTTACTGAAAAATTGCTGCCTCTCTCATTTTACCATATAATTATAAAATAAATCAATTGGACTATAAATATGGTACTTACATTTCAGTGTACAGTACATAGAGCAGTATAAGCAAGTCATTGTCTGTATGACATTTTAGTCTGTACTGACTTCGCTAGTGCTTTTTATGTAGCCTGTTGTAAAACTAAGCAAATATCTAGATAAGTTGATGTACCCCCGGAAGACCTGTGTGCACCCCCAGGGGTCTGCCTACCGCTGGTTGAGAACCACTGGGGTAAGCTACATTTGTTTTGCACACTCCCTGGATGCCAAATGGGCGCTAGTTACTCTGCTTTGCCATTTCCCATCTCCACCAATGAACCCAAAGGCCCTGTGTTTGCATTCAGTCTAGTCTCTGGGCCGTGGTTTCAGCTACCACTAAGCAAAGGGGTGTTATAATTGTTCCCTCAGGGTACATCTACACTACAGGGGGGAGTCGATTTAAGATACGCAAATTCAGCTACTTGAATAGCGTAGCTGAATTCGACGTATCGCAGCCGACTTACCCCGTTGTGAGGACGGCGGCAAAATCGACTTCTGCGGCTTTCTGTCTGCGGCGCTTACTACCACCTCCGCTGGTGGAGTAAGAGCACCGATTCGGGGATCGATTGTCGCGTCCCAACGGGACGCAATAAATCGATCCCCGAGAGGTCGATTTCTACCCGCCGATTCAGGCGGGTAGTATAGACCTAGCCTCAGTTAGCCTGAATGGAAGGTGACTTGCACACCCATCGGTGTCCTAGAGGTTTGTCATTGACCACAGATCAGACATGCTTTCATTTGTGTTGGATCAGCTTCTCCGGTGATGTTTCAGACCAATACCTGGAGATCCTAAGTCTCACTCTCTCTCTTTCAGATTGAAATCTACTCTGACTCAGACTATTTCCATGTTTCCATTGATGAAAACAAAATCCTCCAGTACAAGCATCGGCAGAAACAGCTCTCGGCTATCACCAAACTGCAGGTCGTGAATGATGTCAGAATTTCTTCAATGGAAATCACCAAACGTGGTCTTTATTAGGCACTAAAGCTGGGATGGGATCTCCAGCCTACCCACCCTTAAGAGCCCTGCCCCAGTAGGCAACTGGTTACCCTCTCTCCTCCCTCTCCCACCCATCATCTGCTGCTGTCTCCAGCAGGAAGGATGTTGCTGGAGAACACTATAGCACAGAGTTGTCATACCCATTTCATTTCATTTCATAATGGAGATATCCCATCTCCTAGAACTGGAAGGGACCTTGAAAGGTCATCGAGTCCAGCCCCCTGCCTTCACTAGCAGGACCAAATACTGATTTTGCCCCAGATCCCTAAGTGGCCCCCTCAAGGATTGAACTCACAACCCTGGGTTTAGCAGGCCAATGCTCAAACCACTGAGCTATCCCTCCCCCCATGATGTACTCTATCCTAGCAATACAATGGCAATACACAGTGAGCTCATTATGTCAGTCAGTCCAGATCCCTAGAGTCATTCTGACGCCATGTGCCCTACGGTGGAGAACTGGAAGTCTAGGCATTTTCATCCTTGTTTGTCGTAATGAACAATGGCATTCCACACAGCAGTTTGTTGTGTGTGGCAGTCTGCACTGAATGGTAAGAATATTTGAATTTTATCCAAGCAAATATTCCTACTCTGGAATAGGGTATGGATTAGCTACATTGCTGTGGAGGCATTGATCTAGGGGATGTGTAAAAATGATGCCAACAGAGAGGGGCATGTGCCTATTGGAGCTTGGTACAATGTCGACATGATCACCAATAAAATCTGAAAAATGGCACTGCGTGAAGTGGCTTCTACATTCGTTGGCCTCGTGTCCCAGCTCGCAGGCAGCCCCCTGTCCTCCAGGAGAGGAGGTGATCCCTGACAAATGGTAGCAGAGGACTCTGCTCCTTGCTCCTGCCCTCATACAGAATGAGGCCTGTCCAGTCCCTTAGAGAAAGCCCTGGTTTAAAACTCCACCAGTTGGTCAGGTCAACTGGATTATTCCTCCCCTGGGGCTCTAGCCAGGGTCTGATTCTCCAGCCACAGGGTACAAGCAACTCTCATTGACTTCCGAGGGAGTCACTTGTATCCAACAGTGGGAAAATAAGGCCCTTTGGCATGAAAGGAGGGTGTGAAACCAAGCTCCTGTTCAGAACTTGGGGAATAAAATTTGTCACATAACTAATTTTGCAAGATTTCTCAGAATAATTTTGTCCACGCTGCAACGAGATGCATATCTGCTCTGCTCTAACCCTGTCAACTCTCCTGTTATGATACAGCTCCCAGGAGTGATTCTGTGGGTCAAAAAGGGGAGGAGCTTAAAGGAGCACTGAGCCAAGATGATTTTATCAGAACACAAGGCAGTCACAACTAGAGTCCATGCCAAGGGATCCTAGAAGGACCGAGTTCTAGTAATTATGTTTTTCAGGATAAGCACAAGATGCCATATTTTTAGCGGCCAGACTCAATCTCTCTCTCCCTTTTCTTCTTCCTCCCTTCTCAATCCAATGGAATCAACACACACTCACTTGTTCTCCTGTTTCTCCTTCCCCTTTTCCTCTCTGACATTGTCCACCTCTTTCTCCTCTTTTGGGGGTATTATGTGTCTGACCCCTTGACTGCACTCCAGCAGGAGAAAGGCTGCTAATGGACTAACTTGCATCCAGTGACATAAACATGTCACCATTGTTAAATCTGAGCATGAATTAATTCAAAAGGGCAACTACAGCTGCCCTCAAATCATCCCCTTGCTCCCTAGGCGTTAGATAGAGTGTGTTCCAAATGGCAAGCCATAAAGAAAGAGAACAAATGGCTGCTATCTGCCATTGCTGGCAAGAGGGATAGACTGTGTACTCATCACAGCTCCTGTACTATCTCTGGTCATTGGAAGGAGTCATTGGAATTGTTATCTGTCCAGTGAAAAGTCAAAGTTTTGCTCTGGCCTTTTCAGAACTCTTTAGTTTGATTGGCTGAGGTCATTCTCCTTTCCTTCTATTTATAGTCGTAATGATCTAAGAGGAAGGGGTGAATAGTCTGCCAATCACAATCTGCCTATACTGCAAAATCTACATGAGTCTTAAAAGTGTGTGGTATTTCCAGACTATAACTCGAGGACATTATGTTCTCATTGCAAAGACTGTACTGGGAACATAGGAAGGCCCAGAATAGATGTGGTCACATTAAAAAGAATAGAAAATATGTTTTGTAAATGGCAACCAGGCCGGTTACAAGACAGAAGGTGGAAATTGTGATAGATGTACCTGGATGACAGGAGTCAGCACTTAGTCTCCTTGTTCATCAAGTCCTTACCACAAACTGAGTCGCACCTTGACCTGGAGAATCCCCCTTTTTGGAAGTGAAACACTCTTTCACTCTCCTTGTTCATTCCTTTTTGGAGCTTCCAACCGCTCTGAAGTAAAACAACCACTCCTGGGTCCCACTGCCCAGCTGGGGGTCAGTCTCAGAGGAGCCGGCTTATTTCCAAAGGAGCTCCATTTATAGTCTGATCCAGATCCAAGTTACAGTGGCCGAAACCCACAGTTAACTCTGCTGAAGTCAATGCAGTTACACGGGTGTAAAACAATGCAAGTGCAATCAGACTCAGGACCTATACAGCATAAAATTCACCCTGTCTGTCTCTGCTAACGCTGAACTATATTTGGAAGAAATTGCTCTTTTTATTTGTCCCTAGTGGGAAGTTTCATGATGCTGATTATGCTTCATGGGGGAAAACTGATAAGGGAATTCATAATAATAATACTTTGCACTAAGCCCCATCTATGTCCCACCACTATATAAATATTCCATTATTCCAATTACTTCAGTCATTGAGCCTGGATGAACAAGGCAAACATATTTCAAGTACAAATACATAAAAAGAGGTGCCATAAAAAATTAGCCAGCAACATCCGATTGCACCGTGTCTCTTCTAACACAGTCTCCCTCAGCCTGCCCAAGAGCTAATTGGCTGATCTTACTCATGCATCATCTGCACAGGGAAACAGAGCGCAAACTTTCCTGACACATCAGTGGAGCTGCTGTTGGGGTAGAAATATTAACCACTCCATCCTCACACTGAAACTTTTGCTTCCCTGGCAATGAAAGGTACTTGATGACTCCTGGCTATAGCATGTCTCATTCTTGCAGATAGAAATGCTGATATGGAGCAACTAATAGCCAAAGAGGATCCCTGGAGGCAAGACATACACATAGCTCAATTAGGGTGACCAGATGTCCCAATTTTATAGGGACAGTCCCGATATTTGGGGCTTTTTTTTATATGGGCTCCTATTATTCCCCACCTCAATCCCGATTTTTCACACTTGTGTCTGGTCACCTTAGGCTCAACGTTATGGAGTTCTCTCTCTCTCATGCCTCAACTGGGACGTACCCGCTGGCTCAGAGTCACCCTCTTCACCCATTTGTTGATCACTACACTTGAGAAAAAAAATTAAGCACCCTGGTTTTTACGGTGATTTAGGCTTCCTTTGCTGGCCTGCCACTGCCTGCGTCAGGCCTCTGGATCAGTGTCATCTACTGCTGCTCAGGTTCGCCTGAGAGGTTTGCTGAGCCCTTCTCAGGAGAGGATGAGGCATGCTGATGGTGGCAGGAGGCTGCTGATTCCTGGTCTTTTGGCTACAAGAAAAAGAAAAGAGGCCTCTTCCCCCAGCTTTAAACGGGCCTTCATATTAATGGTTAGGGAGCTGAAACAGGTGGGAGCTGATGAACAGGACGCTCCCCCATAGATATATATGAATCCCTTGGAGAGTTTAAAACCCTGTTAGAAGACAGAGGAGTAGAATCAGCATATGTCCTGCAGCCCTGACGGAGATTAATTCACCCCCAGTGCCACTGTTAACACCCCTAGTCTTATGCACCCCCAAAGCAATAGCTTCATTATGTCCCATTTAAAATGACTGGGCACAAGAGCTGGAGCCATGCTCCGAAGCATCACAAAATGCTCCCAGATCCTGGATATGGGGGGAGAGGCTATCTGTTCTTAAGCCTCCTTAGTGGGGTAAGACAGGACTGTAGTTATAAAAACAGAAGCTGCCGCTGTTACTGGTTTACGTAAAAGAGAGAGGAAACCTAAAAGAGATGCTTAGCTCCTATCCTAGAACCACAAGAGAGAGGAAGATTTACAGGCTGGAAGAGACCATGTGTCTGACAATAGCTGAGACTCCATGATTTCCAGGCTGAAAGAGTCCTCTCCCTGCCTGATACATGTTCAGACCGATTTAGCAAGAGTTTCTGGCCTGTAACTGTCTCAGGTAAATCCCCAGGCTAGAGTTTCTTGCCCAGAAATTTCCTTACTAGGAGGGAATGCTGAATCTCAATGTACTTAAAAAGGTCGATGAGTGTCTTTTTATTGACAGTGTAATTTTGTCCCTAGTTGTTGCTACCTGGGGGCAATAGAGAAGAAGTCCTTATACCTGTAGCAAGGCCTGATCTTCCTCTCATTTATACTGGTTTTGCATCGTAGCTCCAGTGAGTTCAATGGAGAAGAGAATCAGACCCACGATCCATTGCCCCTGATCTTTGTAATGGATTCCGTGCCTGCTCTGCTCCTCGGCGGTGGCCCCCTGGGTCAGGGCCCCTCCGGGCTTCACTGAGTCAGGCAGCGTCACAGAAAGGAGCCCCGCAGGTGTCTGACGGACATGGTGTCCGCTGATGCCTGTGACATTGAGAGTCTGGTCATGACTCTGACACTCTTAATAATTGTCACATTTCTCTGTAAACAAGCTCTGGCAGCTTCCCTACAGCCAGCTGAGCACCCTGGCTCACTAATCAGTGACAGTCACGTCCAATCAGCAGAGCATGCTGTCCAGTGACGTCAGACTATGTGGTGTTCTCTCTGCCAGCCTTAACAATGGGCTCTTCTCTGACCACATGAGCTGCTGGGTAGGTCCGACCTTGGAAAAGCTAGTGCAGGATGCGGGGGGATGGGAGAATGTGTCTCATTGCCAGTGCTGACTGGCAATGAGGAATACTGAGGCCTCCTTCTAGTTCTGGAAGGCGGAGGGGGAAGGATGGGAGTGTTTAAAACCCATTTGAAAGGGGGAGATGCAGAGCCAGCACGAGGTCTGCAGCCTTGGACAAGACTGATGTACCCCCACTGCCACTGTAATCCCTTAGCCTTGTTACTAATTCTCCAGTGATCAACTTCTATCCTGCCTTGTTTCATTCCCTGGGCAGTGACTCCTGCTGGAGAGAGCAGAGCTGAGTGGGGCAGGCCACTGAACTTTAGCCAGCAATTTTCTGTGAACGTCAGCCTGTGTTTCTAAATTACTGCCTGGCCCCTCGTTCTATGACACTTGTAATCCCCCTGCCCTTCCCCCCGCACACCATTGTCACTGAACCTGGTGCTGGGGAGAGCAGAGCTGATTAGCAACAGGCATCTTCCTCACCCACCACCACTCTGAACTCATCTCTGGATCTAGCAGACTCCAGCCTGGGTTTCTCATTTACTGCCCAGGCCTCGAAGCCCCATAAATCCACAGGATTTGTGGTTTCTTTGTGAGGGAACTGAAGGAAATGTGCCTTCTTTCCAAGAAAATGGGTGGGGGGATGGAGAAGTAATTCACTATTCTAGGGCGAGACAGTTCCTAGTGCTACCGGCCAGGCCCAACTGCATGAGGTCTGCCACAGTTTGGATTAGTGAGTCTCAGTGGAGACTGCGTGTGCTGGAAAGGGGGCAGATGCTTTTTCTTATGGAGTTTATGGGGAAGGGGATTTCTTAAAAACACAGGACAAAGCCTGAAGCATTTGAATCATTTCAACTTGGATGGGACACTC